CACTTCTAAAGTCTATGCTCTCAGGTTTTGGTTATAGGTATAAACACATGGTTTGTGAACTTCCAGCAGTATGTTTGAAACCAAAAGTTATTCTGAAATATATGTATGAGAACAAAAGAAAGATCTCATTGTTTGAGAGTCAGACACTCCTGGTTCCTCCCCCAAATTACAACATTGCCTTGAAACCAAAGGAAGAATTGTATTGATTTTTCTAGTTCTGATGGCACTCGGTATGTCCTTTGACATTCAGGATCATCTCTAAGGAGATATTTCCTTTACAACTGTCAAATCTAATCGGGCAAATCTAAGTTCACAATTAAACAACTTCTGCTGCCAGACAACCCTTTGGAGTGTAAAGCTACTGAACTTTAGGTTCCTGTATGCCAGTTGACTTATCTGTTTAAGAAGCATGGATTTCCAAGTGTGGGGTTTAAAGTGGTAAGATTTATCTGGTGAAGATTATGTACACACATTGCAGTGGTGACTGGCTTGCTTCATATTAACCAGTATTATGTTTAAGATGAATCAAAATAAGTTTTTAAACTGATGAAAGTTTATTTAAATTATAGTTCAAATTATTGCTGGCACTTTTGCATATAGACGAAACATTTCACTAAGTCAAAAGTAAGTTAAAAATGAGGACTGACATTTAGTCTCCATGATCAGACTTGCAAATTAAGGTACCACCTTATTCTTGATTTTAGTGGGAGTTAGGAACATGATTGTGTTGAAAACCATACCACTGGTTTGGTAGGGACTGAAATCTTCATTCCTATGAATCTGTGTCTGAATCCTGTGAACCCATGTGGCTTTGGAAATTGAGACTGGGATCTTTCAGCTGTTAAATTTTACCTGTTGGCTGTAAAATTTACCCTGTTACTCATGTGAGATGAATTCATCTATTAGGAGTGGGACATATCTTCGTAAAATAGGTGGAATTCTGTGTATGGGAATTTGTCTTCTTGCAACTTGCCCTTAATTTGAAATGAGAGAGGGCTTGTTTGCTTTCTTTGTTGTGTTGAGTTTGGCTTTTCTAGGTTTGGCTACTATGATGTGACCCTATCCTATTTTGTAGGGTATCTTTAGAAAATACTCAATGTTGTGCTTTTTTTCCCCACTGCTTCCCTTGGGTATGAGCAGCACAGTAACATACTGAGCTGCTCCTTCTTTTGCCTTGAAGATTTATGTTTAGCAGAGATGATCTTTCAGATTGCAAAATATGTGACCTTTGCACAATGCCATGGCTCATTTTTGTGGCCTGTAGAAAATTTCCCTGTTAATGCTGTTGTAGTAGAGAATTTTCTCTCAAAGTATCTGGTCAAAAAGGTCCCAGGGTAGGGACCTTTAATTGGTAGGGATTAAAACAAACAGAAGTGATCTGGCAGGGAAAGTAAACTCAAAAGTGGCAGCCTGTTTATACCTGTATAGGTTGTAGTGTGGCATTCTGGCCAGGAGGTGACTGTTCTGTAATCCCCATAGGACCGTGCTTTCATTGATATGTAACGAATACATTTTCCTTCCCTACCAGGGGTCCCAGATAGCCATGGTGCCTACCTACTCCTTGATGGGACCTTTCAGAGGACACATGAGTCTCAAAAGTAGCCGTAAGTATTCAAATTATTACTTGAAAGGTGCCTAAGTGCTCCAGTTTTGGACTAACAGCTTGACTATAAAGAGACTATTAAAAATACATATTTTATTATTGAAAGAGTGTAAAGTAGATAAGTCTTTCTAATAGCTGCTATTACAAAAATCTTAGCTCTCTAGTTTAGCCAAGCAGCTTTCCTGGTCAGGATCTTTGTCAAGCACCTGTAGAAGAACTGCTGGAAAGCTGTTCTGCCTGAAACTTCCCTTTTCAGAAATGCTGTTCCACTATACCTTCTTCAGGTTCAATATAGTTTCAGTCCTTAATTAAATGCTGGCAAACACACCACCACTACTAGCTGGTACCACCACCCACCATTTTTGTCCTTGTTGGCCGCCTTCTGTCCCTTGATGAAGCCCAGCTGCAGTCAGAGGCATTTCACTCTGCAAATAGGCACCTCTGCATTTCAGGGCCTACAGGGTATTGTCCTACCATCCTCCTCTTCCCAGCTTTTCAATAGAACCCCAAAGGACCATGAGGAGGACACCTACTGTGTCCTCACCTCACTAGCCTGTCATGTTGGTTTCCTCTAGAAGTGATATATATGTATTTTCTGAAGGGAACAGAAGCAGAGAAACCTCTGTTCGATGCTTAAAGCATAAGCCAGAGCTCAATGCCTGCCAGTTCTTCCTGTAGCTGAAAATAGGCAGAAATTCTTAGCCAGGAGGGGAGCAGCTTGAGATGACTATGCAACTGAACTGAAGTAAGAGGAGTTGCAAAACATTTGTCAGCCATTGACTGGGTCACTCTGCTGCAGACTGTCTCAGTGGTTACTCTGTTACCTGCATGGTGGGCAGGTGTTCTACCTTGTTAAGCATGAGACAAACAGGGAGCAAAGAGATTGCCCCTCTCCCTTCCGAATTTAGGGTCCAAATACAAGATGAGGAAGTAGCCAGACACAAGCAGATTGCAGGACCATAACTGTGAATTACTGCTAATGATAATTGCTAATGTCTTAGCTATTAGCTAATTGCTAATATCTCACTAATATACAAGATAGCTCTTTCTTTGCAGTGCCAGTTTACTACAGTAGGCAAAGCCAAGGATGTTGCAGAGATGGTTCCCACTTGCCAATACTGTGAAGGGTAGATAAGAATTGGATATTTCCACGCTTTTGAGGCTTCAGTATTGCTGAACAGTTTTTTATTTGGTTATAAATCCATATTTTATTTGGTTATAAGTACATATGGGTTTGTCTCCATGTTGTAACACTTCCACTTGTAGGTATTAGCAATTTGGAATGTTATAAACTATTTGCAGTATAGCAGCACTGCAGTTATACTCGTATTTAAAAGAGTAAAATAATTGGCATGTTAGTGAGAACAGGCTTTTACTCCTGTAAGGCAAAAAGTAGCAGCTTTGAATCAGCAGTCTGGTGAGGAGCAAAGTCACCTCTTGTGTTTTTCAAAAGCATATTTTGTTTTTCAGGAAAGGATGTGTTTTATCACTGTCATTGTGTATCAGTCAAACTTTAATACTGCTACAACTGGATTTATGATATGATGTTGTACCTCTAGACATGATATATTTTCCGGACATGATTTGCAGAAGTAATCTCTTGCAATTCCATCAGTGGAAACTAGGTAAATTAGTCACCATACAGCTACACATCCAGGACCGTAATAAATTGCTAAGAAAGTAATTTCAAAGTAGGAAACAAAACAGAGTCACTACTGAGAGAGTTGTCAGTCTTCTTTATTGCTCACTCTTGGGTCTTGGTTTCCTGGAGATCTTTCCTCATACGTAGAAGCAAGATGTAAATATCTTGAAAGGACAATAGTCCTCCGAGTTTGGAAAGATTTTCAAAAGCAGGCAACTTTCTGTATGTAGAACTGTGCTTGTATATAGAAAATGCTGAAACTCTGAAACATTGAAAGCTTAGATCAAGCATTTTGCTGAATGTTGCAGGTAAATGAGATCTTTGTAGGGCAGCAGAAAATACAAAACTTGGATTCTGTGCAAATATGGGCTTAAGAATATTGCCTATCATAACAGCACACAAAAGGGCTGTTTCAATTTGACCTGTGTTTGCACCATCAACAGCACCTTATAATAGGGCTACTTAAAATTCCCAGAAAATTTCTATTTCCCATTTTTCTCAATTTGAAGTTACTCAAAGAAAACATAAGAAAAATTTGTCTAACAGTATGAACTTTCCATCGAGTTCAAATAAGAACACCCTCTCTAACAGTGGGAGATACTTAATTGGGCCCCCCTTAAGTTTCCCCATTTTTTTTTATCCTTAAAGCCTTTTCTTTGAGAAAGGGATGTGTTTTTTCAGGTCCTCTTTTCAGAGAGTTTAAGACAGGAGAACACAAAATGACTTACCAAAGTTCAACAGAAAGTCTCTGGCAAAGAAAATAATTTGCTTTTTTTTTTCCCTTACATAGGAATAACCACAATGCTGCTTATTGCACAATGTTAGCAATTTTCTGGACACAGAGTTAGATTTTATGAGAGATAAAAATTAGATTAAACTACTAGTGCCTTGTATATCTTTAGCATTTCAAATTTGGGGCGGTTATTCATTTTGAGAAGAATGTTCTTTTTATAAATGGATTTTCCATCCCTTTTTAATCTTTGGATATTGTTTAGATTATCACTTCGTTCTTCTGTCATGCTGTCTTTTTCACTGCATATATTTAAATCAGCTTTTCACTGCCAATCAGGGAAGGATTTGGGGCATTTACCAAAATCTATTTTCTTTCCCTTAGTGACAAGAGCCTCTAGCTGCTGTGATTTAGGGTACTGCCATTCCTTGAACTCAGAAGGGTTGCCCCACTTCCACCAGCTAGGAATGGTGCTGTATATTACCGAAGAGCTTGTTCCAGTTGCTTTTGCCAGCAGGAGGTTACAGAACAATTGGCAAAATTATTGAAAAAAAATTAAGTTTTAGAAGTTTTGGAGTGAACAACTACTGGTCTCAAGCACATAAAAGCTTTGAAATAGAATAGTACTGATTTTAACTATTTTATTTCTGTAGCATAGTATTGACACCCATGAGTGGTTTCCCTGAATGAAATTGGACATATGGTAAATGCTCGTGATTAGAAAGTCTGTGAGCTTTGTATTTGTCTGCTTCAAGTATTGGATTCCATTGTGGTACCTGTACTACTCGTTCAATTTAATTGAGACAAAAGGTAAATGCAGTTTGGTCATCATATTGCACCAAGTTCTCCATTGCTTTATAGCAAACATGGAATCGTTATTTCTGTTGATGTCTCTGCACCTCCTTACATCACGGTGTGAGCACTCTGGTGTGCCTACATGTTTGATGAACAACCAAAGGGATGGTCCTGGAGCTGAAGTAACAGTACCTTTCTGCAGCTGGTTATGTTGGGATGTCCTACTGCTCCTGGACAAGCTGCTGAAATCAAGTCTTTATGTCAGTGCCCTTCTGGCAGGCTTCGAGTTACTTGTAGGAGCACATGAGGAAGTAGTACTAAATGAAGCAACAAACCTAGCATCAGGTGTTCTGTCCTGCTCTTTCTTAAAGTTCAAAAGATAACACAATAAATTGAATGCAGTCAAACTCTTTGGCAGTGAAAAGCAGTTTGTAGCACTGGCTCACTTAGTAGGGAAGAGATTTAGGTAAGAGAAAGCAGCACAGCAAGTATGCAGCCAAACTGAGATTAGAAGGATTGATTTCCAGACTCTCAACCCAAGGTCTCCATTTTTTCAAAACACTTTAAAAACTATGAAACTAAGTTAGATTAACTGAAATGGTACACTGGGGACATGAACAATGAAACAAACAATTTTTTGGTTCAGAGAACCAAATCTGAATAGGTTGGATGGGCTGATTATCTCAAGTGTAAGGGTCATTCTGGGTCCATGGATGGAAAGCCAAAGGCACATTAGGTTTCTGATCTCCCGTATTCTGTTGATTTTTTAATATTATGTGCTAGCAACTTTCCATCTACAAATCCTGTCTGTTTAGGAATTGAGAGGATTTGAGAAAGAAATAATATTTGTGTTTGGAAACAGATTGAAAGAAAATTATCTATCTCAACCATCCTGCCACGTTAAAATTTAAAACAAGTAAATGTTTATCTACTTCTTGACTTTTTTTCCTGGGTTAATGAACTTAGGTCAGACACAGAGGCAAATTCTTCTGAGTCTGAGAAGTCTTAACGATTTAGAGATTCAGAGGAGTGTTACGGTCAGTCTCTGTGTAACACATTTCAGCTCCATGTTCTGGTTCCTTTTCTGGCCCGAATTCTGGATTTCTCTGTATCCAGTCCATTTTCCTAACTGTAGAGTGCCAGAGTTAGGTCTGTTATGACCAAGAGGTGAGACATAAATGGGCAGTTTTTTGCAGTACTTTGTAATATCCTCTAATATTACTATCTAGCATTAATAATAGTATTAATGCTCTCTACTATTATTTAAGACTCTCTGGTATTAAATCTTTCAAAAGGAAAATGCTTTATTATTTTTATTTATTTATATTTATATTTTTATATTTATATTTTTATATAAATATTTATTATATCAGATATTACAATGTGAGATCCTCTGTTATTCTCTAGAGTTCAAAAATATTAAAGGCTCATACATTACTTATTGCAAACCATAATTCTCAGGTATTCAAAAACATGAAAACTGAGAATAATTTACCATTTTTTCATGTTACATTCTGTGCTATTCTTACTTTTTGAAATATAAGAATGCATATTGATTTTATTGTAAGCAGGAGAGGATAAATATTATAATATTTTCAGATCCATTATTACCTGAAACATTGCTTGCCCCACTGAGTAACTCAGTTTTTTCTGGCTTGCAGCTTTTTCTCCCGGACCTTCCTGCAAACTCTCCAACCAGTACATCGTTCAAGATCACATGGCTGCTCATTTCAAGAAACTGATGTCTGCCAAAGGTGTGTCAAGTCTTTACTTACCACAGTATCTTTGTAGGTAAAAGATAAAATCACAGTCAAAGATATGTTGGTTGTCCCTATTTTTGGCTAGCTTCTGAATTTCTTCCCCTTTCTTTCCTCCCTCTCCCTGTCGCTAACTCAACAGGCGTAGGAGAATTTAAAAGTGAGGCATAACATGATGTGCCTTAAGAGATATGTAGAACACTCAATTGGAACTGTAACTTTGTTTGGGGAGAAGCAACCCCAACTGTTTATAGATGTAAAGTCTATGGAGTCAAAATGACAGGTTTGTGTTAGGAAGGGAAATATTGCTTAATTTCCCCGTGTTATTTTATTCATAATTTCTGTTTAGATGTATATGGCCGATGACTAAAAGGAAAGGTAAAATGAGAACAGTAGGGCAGGTATTTGTTTAATTGGAAGAAACCATTGAAGAGTAACTGCGAGGTTACATCTTTTGATGTTTAGAAGATTACGGTATTAGTCCTAAATAACCTAGAGGGAAGTTCCATTAACCACATGTAGTTATATTCTTAAGGCCTCTTCAAATACTCTCCCTCCTGCAAATAGCTGCAAACCACTAGAAACAGAATTTGGAATTTTAGAAAGAATGTCCTTTGTCAGTTGTCTGGAGCCGTGTAAACTTCCTTGGTGCTTCAAGTGCAGATGAAACAACTGGAGTTGAATGGTCATAGCTGTAATTAGGTTACTGCAAGACTTCCAGCCCTTGGGCTCTCAGGGCTTTCTAACCAAACAATTCACTGATCACATGCAGTGAACTTTATAATAACACATAGGTGTTGAACAATAAATGAGGTTGGTGCTGTGGGTTTTTTTGCCAGAAGATCAATCCTTTCATCAATTTGCAGTGCCAAATGCATCATCTTAAAATGACCTGACTCAAATATAACACATCTTTTTATCATGGTATCAGAACCACTCTTTGAAAGATTGATGACCTCCACCATGCTAAGGTTCATGACCATCCCACTCATATTGGGAGCTGGAGGCTGGATTGCTGCTCTGTACTTTTGTACTTAAGTGATTTTGCTTTTGCATGGCCAATATCATAGAAACAGAGAACTCCAGGGACTGCAGAATTCATCTTCTAGTGCATTGCTTATAGATATACAGAACCACCAGGACTAATTAAGATCAGCAAAGACTGTCATATATAATTGAAATTTATTTCATTCTCAACTGGTGATGTCTAAATGAGGGAGCAAAAATCAAAAAATAAAATTAACAGAGATGTTTTGCAGTCTTTTTGTCTATTACATTCCTAAAGTTCAGAAGAAAATACACACAAAAGATTCTTGGCATAAAAGGAGTCAAATGCTTTGTTCCAAAACAGGTTTCAATTTTCTTTTTCTCAAACGTCAGTCCTGCTTTTCTGCAGCAGAATTCAGTCAATCTGGAAAGAGTTTCTCACAGTAGGTGCTAATCAAAATTTTCAGTGGCTAAAATTTTCTAATTCTTAGGTGTTTCACAATCTGAACTTACAGTTCTCGAAAGTCAGATTTGGAGTGTATTATAGCAGGAACCTTTAATCTTAAAACACTTATTTTACTTATTATAGTGTTCATCATTCACACACGTTTTCCTTGTAGAGCTAACTCCTGCATACATATCAAAACCTGCAATATTGCAAGGATGTCAAGGTTCTTTTCTGTACTTACCTGAGGCTCTGAAGTGCTGATTTGCCACATGTTCTGTACATCTTTACAGGAGATTATAGAATTTCTTTCCTCTGAAAAATCTGGTCGGGGTTGTCTAAAGGCCTTCTCCAGTATCCTTCTAAATATTCTCCATTTTTTGGAATACAGCTGCTTTATGAAATACAACCTATTTGGTCTCACTCTACATGGTAGCAAGCCCTGCATGTCTGAAACTTTGGAGCACTTGTACAAACTCCAGTTTGCTGTCACATTTGACAGAAATCACAAAAGTGAAAGATGGAAATTCAGTCAGTGTCCTTCAAATGCAACTGCAATATTGAGCTTCTAGGTGATTGCTTTTCCCTCCAGAGTCGAAAATAGTATTTCCTCATGTACCCGAGTTATATACAGGGATATGCAATCTGACATAGCGTTCCATTAACATCCTTACCATCTTCTGTATGGACACATAACTTAATGAAGACTGTGCATCAGTAGTGACAGGGCTTGATTCCTTGAAGCTTACTTCATTTAATATTTTACAATGAAAACCAAATGACCAAATAACAGAAAACTTGGTGTTCAAAACTGCCTATGTAATTGTGTATTCAAATAACTCCTTTTGATAGAAAGATGATGACCTTGAGCCTCAGGACAATTTGAATCACACTCTTAGAGCATCAGTTGGCAGTTTCCCCTACCTGATAGCAGCTGTACTACTCATCCATGAAATACCAACTTTCTGGGTAGCAGTAGGTGCCATTACAAAAAGCTTTTCTTAAATTTTAAATTAAAATTAATTTTAATAAATGCAGCTGTACTGGGTCTAATATCTATACCTAAGTAGAGATGGTTGAAAGCCACAAAATTCAGACCCAGATTTGGTACTGAACCAGAAACAGCACTGCTGGGGCACTTACCTTTTGCTTTTAGACAGATCAAGACAAGGGGTCAAATCCTCATCTAATATCATTGCAACTATACTTGTAGTTGGTATAACCCAACTAACTTGACAACATTTAAACTATGCTAGCTTTTGAGACCTGACCATTGGCAAAGATAATAGAAGAAAACAGGAAGAAAATGGTATACGTCAACAGAGAAACAATAGGATTTGGTCATTTGCAGATGTATACTGTTAATAATGCTAATATTATACAGTCTGGTATCATATTCCCACAGGGAATTCAACACCTTAGGGATGAACAGTTTCATCTCTACACATTTTGATATGATTATTTATTATGCTAGTGTTTCATTGGACTGAACCTACTTTTTGTTAATACAGCTGCTGTTGATTCATCTGCACCCAAGAGTTTGCATACCAGTGTTAAGTGTGAGTAGCTTTATTTTGTTTTGTTTTGAAAATAGGTCTGGCTCCACTTGTTTGGTTTGGAAATACTTGCCTTCTTTTATGATGATGTTCTGAAAAGGCATGTATGTGCCAAAAATATGCGTCATCGTGGTTATGATAGTAGTACCTAGTATCTAATCTATTATCTAACTTAATAGCTGTATCTAGCACTTGGTTCATGTTTGCACAGACACATTCTGACCTGCAGAGTTATCAGCTAACTCGCTGATATGCAAGGTTGTTGGAGGCATAAATTGCTTTAGTTTTCCAGTCTAAACTCAGACTGTTGGTCTTTTGAATGCCTTGATATTCCATACTGTATTTTTCATTTCCTTAACTGCTTCGTGTATCTCTGGGCGTCAGGCATACTACCGCTCAAACAGGTTTTGAGGAATAAATGGGGTTTCGGTAAGAGAACACTGCACTGCACCTTAACGCCACCTCTTGGCTGGAGCTTGCAGGACCCAATGTGTAGGCAGAGTCTCTCCTGCCCTTCCTTTTTTGAAAGGAAGAAAGATTGATTAAAAGGAACCCTTTCATCGCTTTCCCTGGAAACATAGCATTCACTTTGGAATGTGTTTCGTTTTCTTCGTTCACCAGGTTGTGAGGCATATGCTACTTATCTGTTTGATAGTTACATGCAAGGCAGCACACTTGCTGCACAGAAACCCCCGTTTTAAAATGAAATTTTAAAAGCTGGAAAAACGAAAGCTTGTTTTGCCACAGTGTATGCATAGTGGGAACCATGTATCAGAGACCTGTGGTAGGCTATTGCTCTGAGCAGGGCGTAATGTACTTGGAAATAAACATAGCTCAAAGGCAGTGGTGAGATGCAGTGGCTCCAGCAAAATACACCCAAGTCAAGAGGGCAAACGTAACCCTTGCCCACAAAGATTCAGAAAAATGTATCACATGAGATCTTCATTAGACAAGAGCAAGAGAACAAGTTCAAGATCATAACACATTACAATCAAAACTCCCTTACCTTTGTCTTTTAACTCCTCATGCTCAACTGTGTTTTTCTTTTTCCATGCTCTTTTATACAATAATTTCAAAATTAGTATTTTATATTAGTCACTTTAGTAACAGAAAGAAAGGCCATGGGAAGTTTTCTAAGAACATTAATTTGACAGAGAGATGATACTGGCACAAATGTGCGTGAGGAGTAGAATCTCACCTCCTTGAAAATATCAAGAGGACATAGAATTTGTTCAGCTGAGTTAGCCACAATAACAGGTTCCTAGACGATATATCAGAGGGAAACATTATCTGTGTTTCTTAAAATGCTTTCTTGGGAAGGTATTTATCTTACAGAACTAAGCAGGACTGTATTGTTTTGTGCAGTTTCGGTTAATTTAGAAGCCCACACTGAGCACAAGGTGCCTGGAGGTCATAGGAGCCATAACAGTCAGTTAGAAAGTGAGAGTCATTTTCTAACTCTCAGTCAGAGAAAGTGAGGACCCAATACAATTTTTGTCAGCAGCCCACCGGGGAAATGCAAATCACCTTTGTCGTTTAATATTTATCTTCACTAAAAGGTTCTGTGTATGATCTAAGTCTTTTTTCTGACAGGTTAGCTCCAGAAATGTCTGTCTTGGCAAAAGAAGTTTTATCCCTTGAAGAATAAAACTCAAAATTTAAAAGTCACAATGAAAATGTGCATCAGAACTTATGTCTCCTGAAGCATTAAGTAGGGCAGTAGCACAATGGAGGTACAATTGCTGCTGTTGGGGTTGATGTGCAAATTCATTTGAGCAGTATAAAATTACTTTATGCCTACAAAAATAGGCCTCTGGATATCATTTGCATAAACAAACATCATTTGCATAAACAAAATAAATTAAGGCTTTTTGCCAGCCTACTAGAATAATGAGAGGACAAATCTAATTTTCTGTCTAGTACAAGATCACAGTGTTTTCTTCTTTTCATGTACAATTTTCTCCCACAACCATCTCCCACTATTGCTATTGCTAGTTACTAAATGTGGTGTGCTTTTAGAACCTTGACATTTACCAGAACTTTGACAGATACACATTCTGATGCCATATATTTTCTTACCTCTTCTCAATCCATACACTTAGATAGGTGTAACTTTGTTTTCCAAATGTGTGATCTGTGTTGGATTTTTCCAAATGTGTGATCTATGTTGGATACCACACGTTTCAGTGGTAGGCTGAAAAGAAAATTCAGGTCACTCGGTAGTGATGGAGACATTCAAAAACCTATAAAATTAAAGAGAAAAACTCAAACAGCTACAAAGATTAGTTCTGAAAAGGCAGAAGAAAATACAATGTGCAATGCTTTGTTTCATTTTAAGAATAAATTTACTGCAGATAAACCACTGTAAATAATTTGCTGTTATTTCCTATAAATTAAGTGCACCATTTCACAAGTATCCATAGTGTTGGACTGCAGGTTAAGAACTGTAGAGACAAAGTGCAGATTAGGCAGAGATGTTTCAAGATCAGGAATATGGGTGATATAGTTCATCATCCTAAGTGTTCTTGTGGAGATAAAATTTAAGCAGAGATGCTTTAAGAGTCATGAGAACTGCGTGATTTATGAAACTACTGTGAAAACAAGGATTCCTTGGCTATCCCAAGTGTCTGCCTAGGAGGATGTTTACATTTCTTACTCTCAGCAGAAGCCACATTTCCTAGAAAGATCATCTAATGAGTCTGGAAAGAGCATAAGGTATGCTGCTGAACATGCCAGTGACTAGGTTTCAGAAGAGTGTCTCAGCAATCAAAAAGAATTCCTGTTGCAATGGAAATGTGAAAGTTCTGGAGCAAAAAAAAAATGTTACAAGCCATTGTTTCTATTTGAACAAAGGAGAAAAGTCAAAGTAACTTTGTTTGAATTCAGGTATTTTATTTATACAGCATTGAGCCTGACACTTAAACTTGATCATGGCATCCAGGAGTCCTCCAAATTTCTTAGTTCTTAGTTATTAGTTATTATTAACAAGTAATATTAAGCAGTTGAATTACATTTTTGGACCTTGGAAGCATAAGTCTCTTCTAACCATTATTTCCATGGTACTGTTATGCTCTGCCCCAGATTCACAGAGCCCGAGCTTGAGTCAGATCTCCTGAGGCTGATCAGCTCAGTAAGGGGAGCAGAAACCTTGGCTGATGTGTGTATGAAGCTGTCCCAGACGAGTTGGCAGAAAACTAGGAGAAAACACTTGTGAAACTACTAAGAGTGGCAAGATGAGCTATTCAGACCCCTGTATGTTTTACACAATTCACTTGCACTTTTAGGAGTACAGGGTATACATTTACCCAAAAGGAATTGCAAGTAATATTATACCTGAGTACATGAGGCCATGTGACTGTTTCTCCTTCACCCTTTGTGGAGTGTTGATCATATAATTGCTTCATGTGCTGTGACTCGTTTTTATAAATATGAAACCCAGACATACAAACAAGTGTGTGCAGAAACACATGCTTCAGTAATTGGAAAAAGGAATAGTAGCTTTCTTTAAGAGGAATTTCATTTTTCTGTGTACCAGCAGAGTCCTTAAGTAGTTAGATATGGCACAAAGTGGACTTTTTATAACCTGTGTTTTTTTCTTTCTAATTCTCTGCATGAGACAGACATCAGTCAAAGCAATAATTTCCATTCGGATTTTAGCCAGTTTAAAATGAAGTTGCATTGTGATTTTCAAGACCGTAACACCTGTGAAAAAGATCAAGCTGTTTCTCCAAAGAGTTCAAAGACATAAAAAATTTCAGCATTTTCTCTACAGTTTCTGTGAATAATCTATACAGTCAATTATATAAACATAATTTTATCCTTACAAATGTAGAACCTTAGTTGTCACAAATCCTAGGCAGTTGAATGGATCATTTAGCAATCAGTGAAAATTAATGTGTTTATATAGCCCAACATCAATTTCCTATCATTGCAGGTTTATGGAGCATTAGTGAGCTGGTTTTTAATAATAAGTTTTGCAGTCTGTAAAAAATAAATGCTTATATCACCTTTAGAAGGGAGCTGCAATGAAGGGTATATCGAATGTATGACTACACTGCGTCATTCAGCTATCGATGGTTAAACCACTAATCTAGTTCATAAATTCTTCTTCTCACACTTCAAATCCTACGCTGTGTGGGCAGCTTCATTTGAGATCTGAGTTCCTTCATAGTAGCCACTGCACATTTCAAGATATCTTCGGGGAGTATCTGTTCAAAATGATGCACCAGCTAGAACAGAGTAGATGCTTGCCATCATCCTCTTTTACAGGGAGGAAATTAATACACCAGAGATTAATTGACATACCTGTGATCACACTGGAACCTGTTGTAGAGCTCGGAATTAAATGATAGTTTTCCAAGTCCTACCGCAGTGTTTTAATCACCAAACCATCCTTCCCATCCATTTTAGAATCAGTGCTGTTTAGGAGTATTTGTAAAAAGGGAAGAAGAGGGTAGTGGGAGCTACTGGAGGATGTAGAGAAAAGGAGTGTTGTCATAACCATTGTGCACTGACTATTTTAACTTTGCATTCTGCTGCCAAATGAAAAGTAGCATACATCAGCAATCAGTCAGTACTTTAAACAGGGGTAAAGCATCTTGACATTTCTTTTGTACACCAGCTTCTAGAATTCCTTACTTATACTCCCTAAAACCTTAAGAAAAGCAGGCTACCACCCTTACATAAGCAAAACAAATGTCAAATCTTGTCTTTGCTCAAATAAGAGAAGAGAATGTGTCCTCTCCTTATTTTGGTGTGGTCTACAAAGAATTGTGTCAAGTGCTGTCAGCACCATTGACAACCATGAATTTGTTAGAAGGGCAGAACCAGTCAGAGCAGATGTAGGTTATGGCCAAAGGCATCAAGCAGTTAAAAAATGCTGGAATGGGTGGTCGGTTATGGAGAACTGATTACATCTTGCCTTCCTCCTGGGGAAATTCCTGTTAATGTCAGCATGAGCACTCACAGTTTCAAAATGTGCAGAATTTGGCATGTGATTAGAA